CCTCTCTAGTGCTAGGATTAAAGGCATGAGCCTCCCACGTGCTGTGATCAAAGACTTGAGCCTCCCAAGTGCTGGGATCAAAGGGTGAGCCACCACTGCCTAGCTGTGTTTCTTTTTTAGACTGGTTCAATCTCGTGTAGCCCAGGGTAGCCTTGAACTCTTGATCTTCCTGTTTCCTCCCAAGTGCTGGGATTAAAGGTGTGTGCTGCCACTGCCTGGCCTCTATGGTTAACTAGTGGCTAGCTCCACCCTCTGATCTCCAGGGAAGCTTTATTTGTCAGAAAACAAACAAAATATCATACAACATTTCCCTCTTTTGTCTAACCCCCTGAAGATTTTACTTAACATGGAAAAACCATGTTATTGTACAGTATGTACAATAACTATATACAAATATGTGCAGGCAATAAATAATATTAATAATAAATAATAATAAACAATGTCTAACTTATTAGCATTTGAGAAATTCAAAGAAAATACTCCATTATCTATCCTATCTTGGTGAGTCCAAAGTGTTGTACCTAATTCACTTTCTATCCTAACTTTCATTACCAATCCCAGGCTATCTTTTGATGTCTCTCATCCCTATACACTTTACACCTCTTTTGTTAATGTATTTTATGAATTTGTTAACAAGAAAAACTATAACTGTCTAGTCTTAAACTCCATCAGAGACCTGAGAAGGATATATTTTATTATAATATTATTATACTATTACTTGAGTAAACAGGAAGTACTTCCAAAAATAAGTGACTTCCAAAAATGTGAGAAATGACAGAAACAGCTGGCTACCTGGGCAGTCACCCAAGGTTCCTCTGCAACATTGGGGCACCCAGCTTTGGCCTATATGCCTAAAATATCTGACAAACGTTTCTATGAAGCAGGGTTTTTGAAGGACTGTCTCACTTTGTCTTGGCAAAGTTTTAAAGTCACTTTCTGATCAAATGAAAAGTCAGCTTTATAAGTTAGTTTAGATGAATGATCACTCTAGTTGATGAACTACGGTCTCTTCTAATCAAGAGGTCTCTCTTGTTCAAATCTAATCTTTATAATATTGCTTTATGTTTTTTCCTAAAATCTTTGTTTTATCTTTTAAAGCTGTTCTATCTTCCAGAGTAGTATGTTTCTTTACAATAGGCATCGGGAATTTAAACTGCTCTGGGAAGGAGTGTTTTCCCATGGTCACAGAGAATGACTGAACCAATTTGACATGGGGGCCCGTGAGAGACTCCCCAATGTGTTTCCTGACTGTAAAGGGTTACCCTGCCTGTCCCTGTTGATCTGCATTCATTTATCCAATGTCTACCTTTGACATATCATTTGCATACTCCAGTAGGGAGGGGCATTCTGTTTGGATTATTCCCAGAAAAAAAAAAAAAACATTATTTCTAGGAATACTCTATTTATAATCCATTTTTAGGTAACAATTGAAACACCTGAGGTTTTTATTTTTCTTCACTCTGGGTCAGTTTCCCCCATCTCAGATATTTCAAGGAAGACTGATACAAGTTGAGGAGGATCAACCTCTTAGGATTATTTCCACTTCCTCCTACCTCCCACCACAAGTTCAACACAGTCTTCTAGGAATTGCTGGTCACCCCTTTTCGTATGAACCCATGGTAGGGACCCTGAGCAAACAGGTAGTCATCTGGAGCAAGGGGACAGTAAGAGACAATAGCAAGAAAGAAATATGTAATGGTGGGCTGTGGCCACTCCTCAGCAGTAGAGAACCTGTCTGGAATACCTCAGTGAGAGACTGGTGTGTGGCTCAGGGGTAGAGTCCCTGCCTAGAATCCCTCACTGCTGGGGTGTGGCTCAGTGGTAGAACCTCTGCTAGAACCCCCCAGTGAGGGGATGGGGTATGATTCAGTGGTGGAGCCCTGCCTAGAATCCCCCAATGAAGGGCTGGGGCGTGGCTTAGGGGTAGAGCATCTGCCTAATGTGAGTGACCCTGAATCCCAACTCCAACAGGAAAACCATCCTGGAACAAGGAAGGGAATTTTACCTTTTCCAAATATCTGTGTTATCATAGTTTGAGCACTAATAGCTCTAACAGACCAGGCTTGGCCGCACATAAGCTCCATATACCAAATAAAGACATAAGAGAGAGGGAGATTTAATATAACTTGTTTACACTGGGAAGAGAAACAAAGAGGCTCAGTGACCCTCAAGTCATCTTCAGGGTCCTGAGTAAGCAGTCCTGGTTGAGGTGGGAGCTTAGCCCATCATCGACACATCCTGGTTTGGCCCACAAGGTGTTCCAATAAGTTGTCAAAACTGAGGATCTTCTGGGTGGTGAGTTCATCCTGTAGGTGTCATCTGGACTTTACTTTTCTGTTACCCCAACATGGGCGTCCTTTGGAAACATTAATTCTTTTTTTTATTGAGCCCTACATTTTTCTCTGCTCCCCTCCCTATCTCTCTCCTCCCCATGCTCCCAATTTACTCAGGAAATCTTGTCTTTTTCTACTTTCTACTTCCCATGTAGATTACGTCTATGTAAGTCTCTCTTAGTGTCCACATTGTTGTCTAAGTTCTCTGGGATTGTGATTTGTGGGCTGGCTTTCTATGCTTTATGTTTAAAAAGCACCTATGAGTGAGTACATGTGATTATTGTCTTTCTGTGTCTGGGTTACATCCCTCAAAATAATATTTTCTAGCTCCATCCATTTTCATGCAAAATTCAAGATGTTGTTATTTTTATGCTGTGTAGTACTCCATTGTGTAAATGTACCACATTTTCCTTATCCATTCTTCAGTCAAGGGGCATTTAGGTTGTTTCCAGGTTCTGGCTATGACAAGCAATGCTGCTATGAACATAGTTAAGCACATGTCCTTGTGGCAAGATTGAGCATCTTTGGATATATATATATATATATCCAAAAGTGGAATTACTGGGTCTTGAGAAAGGTTGTTTCCTAATTTTCTGAGAAATTGCCACACTGACATCCAAAGGGGTTGTACCAGTTTGCATTCCCACCAGCAATGCAGAAGTGTTCCCTTTTTCACACAACCTCTCCAGCGTAAGTTGTCATCAGTGTTTTTTATCTTGGCCATTCTTACAGGTGTAAGATGGAATCTCAGAGTTGTTTGGATTTGCATTTCTCTGATGACTAAGGATGTTGAACATTTCCTTAAGTGTCTTTCAGCCATTTTAGATTCCTCTGTTGAGAGTTCTCTGTTTAGGTCTTTACTCCGTTTTTTTTTTTTTTTTTATTGTATTATGTGTTCTTTCGGTGTCTAATTTCTTGAGCTCTTTGTATATTTTGGAGATCAGCCCTCTGTCTGATGTGGGGTTAGTGAAGATCTTTTCCCATTCTGTAGGCTGTCATTTTGTCTTGCTGACTGTGTCCTTTGCTTTACAGAAGCTTTACAGTTTCAGGGGGTCCCATTTATTAATTGTTTCTCTCAGTGTCTGTGCTGCTGGGGTTCTATTTAGGAAGTGGTTCCCTGTGCCAATGCATTCAAGTGTATTTCCCACTTTCTCTTCTATCAGGTTTAGTGTGGCTGGCTTTATGTTGAAGTCTTTGATCCATTTGGACTTGAGTTTTGTGCATGGTGATACATAGGGTCTATTTTCATTCTTCTACATGTTGATATCCAGTTATGCCAGCACCACTCGTTAAATATGCTTTCTTTTTTCCATTTGATATTTTTGGCTTCCTTGTCAAAGATTAGGTGTTCAAAGATGTGTGGATTGATATCCTGGTCTTCTATTTGGTTCCATTGGTCCTCCTGTCTGTTTTTATGCCCATACTAGGTTGTTTTCAGTACTGTAGCTCTGTATAGTTTGAAGTCAGGGATTGTGATGCCTCCAGAAGTTCTTTTATTGTACAGGATTGTTTTAGCTATCTTGGGTTTTTTGCTTTTCCATATGAAGTTGAGTACCCAAGGTCTTTGAAGAATTTTGCTGGGATTTTGATGGGCATTGCATTGAATCTGTGGAAATATTAATTCTTTGCATGCTCTTTGCTCCAAAAAAGTCTGATAGCCAAATGGAGAGCACAAACATCTCTCTCTAAAATATCTTCTCTCCTGCTAGGTTGGTTATATTGGATTTCCATTTCACAATCTTCTCTACCAAGTCCCATTGTACAGTGCCGCAACCTCCATTTCTGAGGTCTCCTGTGAGTGAGACTCCACCTGTGGCCTTGATTTTTGCTTTTTTTGTGTTTATCTTGGTTTGGTTTGTATGTTTTGAGATAGGGTCTGCTGAAATCAAGACTGGGCTGAAATTTACTATGTGGCCAGGCTTGGCCTCGGAGTCCTGATCCTCCTGCCTCTGACTCCTAAATGCTGGGACCGCAGACACATTCTACCACACATGGTTTGTGTGGTGCTGGAGGTGGAGCCTAGCGCTCTGTGCATGTGAAGCAGACACTCTATGCGAGAGCTGCGTCTCCACAGCCTTTGGTGGGTTTCCGTAGGGAGAATGCTCACATCTACCCCTTCCTAGCTGTTGTCCACTCAATCTATGGCTCCTCCACTGATGCTCCAGGGGCCTGGGATCCGTCTCCCCCTGGACAGTGGTGCTTTGGGAACATAGCCCAGGTTGCTGTTCAGAGGGTGTGCCCATGACAAACTGCTAAGGGAGAGAGGAGAGGCTGGTTGCTCCCAGGCTGCATCTCCCAGCCCCTCTTCTCCCCTATGCCCTAGATTCATCCCCAGCTCCACCAGTATCATCAGCCTCAGGGGAGGCTCTGGGGGCTCTGGATGAAGCAAATCCTTTTTCACTGGGTAGGAAATGTCGCGCAGTGGCCAAGGTTAGTACAGAGAGAAAGAAGACAGGATCAGTCCCTGTATGGGTGAATTTGAAAGAGGCAGTTGCCTATCTGGGTGGTGGGTAGCTGATCTTCATGGCCCAAGGGCCCAGTCAGTGCCTGGGTCTGAAGCTCCTCCTCCCAAGGCAACCACTGTCCTGGCCTCACCCCTGCTTCGGGTGGGGCTTCCTCCAGGTCTTGCATCTCTTAGTTCCTCAGAGAAGAGCCCAGAGAGTCAGACTTGTGGTGGCCCTGCAGCTTCAGCTTGACATGCTGCCGCTGTTGCTGCTGCTGCTCTGGGGGATGAAGGAGGTAGAGGGTGGGGCTGATGCCATAGAGGGTTACAGCCTGGATGTGGAAAAGACCGTGGTGGTGCAAGAGGGCCTGTGTATCCATGTACCCTGTAAGTTCACCTACCGCAAGGAGAAATGGACTGACTCAGACCCAGTTCATGGATACTGGTTCCGGGATGGAGCCGATACAAGGCAGGATCCCCCAGTGGCCACAAATAACCCAAAGCGGCCAGCACTGCATTCGACCCGGGACCGATTCTTCCTGCTCGGAGAACCACTGAAGAATAGCTGTTCCCTGGAAATCAGAGAGACCAGGAAGGACGACGCCGGGTCATACTTCTTTCGCCTGGAGAGAAGAAAAGTGATGTTTAATTATAAGCTGAACATGATGACTCTGCAAGTGAAAGGTCAGGCGGGGCTTGCAGAGAAGCCACCAGGGAAAGCCATGGGCGCCACAGGGCAGGTCTGGGGTAGGACTCCGTCCTGGGAGCAGTGGGTCTGAGCATCAGGGTTCCGGGGAGAAGCAGAATCAGAACCGGGGCTTCCCGTGACGCTGAACCTCACCCCATCCTGATCCTCCATTTCTCCCCTCTCCTCACCAGACCTCACTAACACCCCCCACATCCTTGTCTGGGAGACCCTGGAGGCTGGCCGTCCCAGCAATCTGACCTGCTCTGCACCTTGGGCCTGTGGGTCTCCCTCCTTCTCCTGGACTGGCACCTCTGTGTCACTCTTGAGCACCAACACCACTGGTTCCTCAGTGCTGACTGTCACCCCCCAGCCCCAGGACCATGGCACCAACCTCACTTGTCAGGTGACCCTGCCTGGAGCTGGTGTGACCACAAGAACGACCATCCGTCTCAACGTGTCATGTGAGGCTGGGCAGGGCAGCCTGCCTGTTTTTCTAAGGCAGAGTGGTCCCCAGGGTGGGGTCAGGGTCTGGATACTGGGCCCTAAAATCCTGATAAGGGGGCGTGTCGGGATGGTGGGCCCCTGCCATACCCACCTAGACAGCTGCTAAGGATGGAGGGTAGTTGATGAGTCCACTCTGTCATTCTCTCTTAGATGCTCCAAAGAATCTGACTGTGACCATCTCTCAAGGAGCTGACTCAGGTAGGAGCTTTCCTGGGTAGGAGATACGGCACCTCTTCAGCTCAGACAGGAATTATTCCTGGGTAGGAGATACAGCTCCTCTTCAGCTCAGACAGGAATTATTCCTGGGTAGGAGATACGTCAACTCTTCAGCTCAGACAGGAATTATTCTTCTGCATCCTGAGCTCACCTGGAGTTGGCGCTCCTTGTTGAGGAACCACTGGAGCATCCTCTCTGAAGGCACCAGTCAGTGTCCACCTCTCGCTCCCCCAGATCTGCACATGCCCCTTGACCAGCACAGGCACAGGGTAACATGCACACAGCAGAATCACCCCATCCAGGACCTTCTCCCCATTTATGGATCTGCCTGCATGCCCCCAAAGCTGTGCTCTGGGTTCTTGTGCAGAGACACAGCTACATGGTTAGACACTGAGGACACACACTCTGTTCTCAGACGTTCAGTCTCCAAACTGTAGGTGATCAGTGTCCTGTCCACATCGGATGGCCGAGCCTGGCCTTGTCCCCTGAGGTTCTGAGAGGAACAAGATGTCAATAGCAGAGATGATCTTTGGTCTCCATGACTGCAGTACCCAGCACAGACGGATCCAGTCCTGTGGGTTTCTAATACCAATGTGTAGTAAGGGCAGGGTGTTCATTCTGCCACCAGCAATGAACAGTGAATGGGTTTTGTATCTATGACCACAGTGTGTGTCTGAGTAATAAACTAAAAGCAGGGAATGTGGCTCAACTGATGAAAAAACACTTGTTGAGCAAGCCCCAAACCCTGGCTGGGTTCCATTCCCAGGACCACATAAGCTGGGCATGGTGGCCAATCAAAAAAAAACTAGATGAAACAAGAGAATGGAGCTAGTCTGGAATACTTGAGAACCTACCTTCAATTCTCTCTCTCTCTCTCTCTCTCTCTCTCTCTCTCTCTCTCTCTCTCTCTCTCTCTCACACACCCCCCCCCACAAACACACATTTGTCTAACTCTCTCATCATCAGTTCCAAATATATGCCTGGAACACACGTTCTCTCCAATTTTGAGGCGTATGGTCAGGCAGCTTACACTGAAATTAAGCAAGCTTAGATTCTTGCTGTGGTGCTAGAAAAAGTTTGTGTTTTCCTGTCCTTTCGTCCCCATCGGTGTGTCAGTCCCCCTTTCTGGACTCTAGGGTCCCTTCTCTTAATCTCATCACACTGTCTCTGTCCCTTTCTCTACAGAATTCATAACCCCAGAGAACGGCTCATCTCTTCCTGTCTCTGAGGGCCAGTCTCTACGCCTCCTCTGTAGCACCGACAGCTATCCTCCTGCAAACCTGAGCTGGACCTTTGATAACCTGAGTCTGTGCCCCTCGAAACTGTCCAAACCTGGGCTCCTGGAGCTGTTTTCCGTACATCTTAAGCATGAAGGAGTGTACACCTGCCAAGCTCAGCACACCCTGGGCTCCCAGCACTTTTCCCTGAGCCTGTATCTACAGCGTGAGTGACCCGGGGGGTGGGTAGAGGGTGGCAGAGGCAGGTGGCAGGAGGAGGTCAAAACCAGGCCCATGCTTGCGGTCTTCCCATGAGTCCCCTTAGCTTCACAGGAGAGCTGAGCTCCAGGTTGTGCTGAGCTGTGAAGACTGTAAAGGGTCTCACTATCTTATTCCTGCGACAGGGAGGGTGTGCGGGCCAGGGAGGGAAGTCACCTTAGGATGCAGCAAATCCTGAGGAGAGGGGCTGGGACTTGGACGGGTGAGCTGTGCACTCAAGGTTCTTCCTTCTGTAGGCCAGGAGGAAGGGGCATTTTCCAAGAGTATAAAATTCAAGAGAAAAACTGAACCTACACAAAGCAGAATAAAAACAAATGCAAAACAACTCAGTAGTCAACCTGTAGTGGTCCAGACCCTCACTGGGGGATTCTACGCAGGGCTCTACTACTGAGCCACACTGCCAGTCCCTCACTGGGGAATTCTAGCCAGGGCTCTACCATTGAGCCACACTGTCGGTCCCTCACTGGGGGATTCTAGGCAGGGCTCTACCATTGAAGCCCAGTCCTGGTCCCTCACTGAGGGGTTCTAGGCAGGCATTGAGCAGCTGACCTGTATCTCAAGCCCTCTTTAATTTTTATTTTGAGATAGGGTTTCACCAAGTTGCCCAGGCAGTCACTGAACTCAGTCTCTAACCCAAACACCCCTGAACTTGAGATCCTCCTGGCTTAGCCTCAGAGATAGCTGAAATGACAGACATTCTTCACACATCTGGCTGTGATGAAATATTCCTTTACCTGTTTGTGAAACTGGGGTTGAAACCCAGGCACAAACGTATATGGAGAGACGTTTAATGATCCAATAAAAATGCAAAATAATCCTATGCTGAACAAGATACCAAACTAAATCAAGACAAACTGCTGCCTAGCCTTTTTAATGTCCCCTTTGCCATCTCTGGTCCTTCCATCTGTCCCTTCCAGTCAGGTTCTGGCATCTGAAATAGGGGTGAGGAAAACAGGAGGTCTGGCTTCCTGCAGGGGCTAGGGGAGGTAGGAGAAGAGGGGAGGTCTCTTAGGGTTTTCTATCTCCAGGCGGTACAACTTTATCTGAAGTGACAATGGGGGCCTTTGTGGGTGCCGGAGCCACAGTCCTCCTCTTCCTGCTTTGCGGCATCTTCCTCCTGGCGTGAGTATCAGTGTCAGTGGGGACAGGGAACCTGGGGTGACAAGGGAAAAACCTGGTACCTGACCCTGAGCCCAGGCCCAGAGGGGGTCCTGGGCAGGTGGGGAGCCTGAGGTCAGGAAGAGCGTGGTTTAGGCATGTGGTCTATGTGGAGGACTCGGGAGTGTTGCAAACCTCAGGCCCCACTGTCCCAGATGGTGGGAGCCACCTTTCAACACAGGAACCTCTGTAACAGGACTACTGGCCACCTTAACCGGTGGCTTAGTTGCAAGTAAAGTGTGGGGGAGAATGCCAGCTGTGCCTCCTCCTGCCCACATTGAGAGGGTTCCCTGGTGTCCTTGCCCCCAGGGTGAGATCCTGCAGGAGGAGACCAGCCAGATCAGCTGTGGGACCTTCCGATCCAAACGCCCTCAAGGGCTCGGTTTCTCAGGTGAGTGACCAGCATCCTCCTGCCTGAACACCACCCCTGAGATGGATCCCAGGTTGTTCCACTGAGTGTGGCCCAAGTTGGGTGTCCTGTGAGCAAACCTCTCTCCATCCCCAATCCCACAGTGCAGACTTGTCCTCCCTGCTTGTTCTCTGACCAGGAAGAGAGGAGAGCTCGGCTCATCTTTCTCCTTTTCCCCTGTTCTACCTCAAGTTCATGGGTTCTCATCCGGTTTCCTTCATTAAGATACCAAGCTGCAGGACCCTCTCTGCATTTTGGCTCCTGCCATGACAGAGAGAGAGAGAGAGAGAGAGAGAGAGAGAGAGAGAGAGAGAGAGAGAGAGAGATGTTATCTTTCTTTCTCCATCTCTCTTCCTCTTCTCTTCCTTTGTCTCATTCCTCCCATTGTCTTTCTCTATCCCTTTGTCTCTTTTTTCTTTTTTAGTTTTTCTCTCTTCCTCTCTCTGTCTGTTGTCTCTCTCTCTCTCTCTCTCTCTCTCTCTCTCTCTCTCTCTCTCTCTATGTCTGGGTGCCTCTTCTTCCTTCCCTTTCTCTCCCCTTCCTCTATCTCCTCTCTCTGTCCCTCTCCTCCTCTTCCCCTATTTTTCTTCTTCTCTCTATATCCCTCTCTTTCATCTTCTGACTCTCCCTCTCTCAGTGTCTCTCTCTGTCTCTCAGTGTGTCTCTTTCTCTTCCCCCTTCCCTAGCTCTTGGCCTCCTCTGCCTGCTACCATGACCAAGTTATTAGCTTTATCCACTTCCTCTGCATTTGAATAACTGTTCCTGGATCCCACTGAATATAGTATTATCTCCAAAAGTTCTTAGGGAGGGTGGGCTGATGTTGTAGCTGCTCAGCTTTCCTGCTGTAACATGAAAAGCACCATAGGCCATATGTAACTGATGCCTATGGCTGTGCGCTAATAAAACTTTATTTGTAAAAATGAACAGTGGGCTGGAATTGACTTATTGACTGGTTTAGAACATAAAGACCCAAACTCCTCAACCCCATGTGGTGAAATGGGAAGCTTGCCTCAGATGCAAATTAAGATGGTGCCGAAGTATCAGTTACTAGTCTGTGTGTGTATGTGTTTCAAAGGTCAACTTTAAGTATTGCTCCTCAAGAGCCATCCCTGAGACCTGCGGCTTGCAGATTAGGCTGAACTGGCTGTCAGGGCACCCCAGGGATCCTCCTGTCTCTGCCTCCCAGCTCTGGATATATGCCTGCAGACCACCTCCAACCTTTTATAGTGGGTTGGATGGATTGAACTCAGGTCTTCAGGACCATGCAGCAAGCTCTTTACTGACTGAGCCATTTCCCAGCCTTGATACTCCTTTGAGTTTTTCCTAGATTCAGTGAATACTGCCTCTCCATGCTCTGTCCTTAGAATTATCTCTGTCAACCTTAGGGAAGTTCTTAGTGCTTCTGCAAGAGGGCTTTAAGTAGTAGACTTCCATGTGTCCTTGTTTTTTTCTTTTTCCGTGTGTGTGTTGTGTGTATGTGTGTGTTGTGTGTGTGTTGTGTGTGTGCTGCATGTGTGTGAGAGTGTGCATGCATGTGGATACTCGTGCAAATGGAAACTTGAGGTTGATCTTAGGGATCACCCTCACTGGCTCTTCCACCTTGTCATTAAGGTGAGGCCACTCAGTCAACCCCAGAGATCACTGATATGGCTCGTCTCTAGACAGCTTGCTGTAGGGAGCCCCTACCTCTGCTTCCTAAAGTTGGAATTACAGGTGTGCCACCACACCCACTTGGCATTCATGTCATTTCTAGGGATCCAACAGCTAGAATTTTGTCTCTGAGACATTGTTCAGGTCCTATCACTTCATCTATTAGTGAAATACTGTGTCCGTACACAGAAGCCAGCCGACCAGGTGCCAGGGACCCATCTTTCAAGATCCTTAAAGAACCCTGAGCTCAGTCATGTTTATTGTAGCCAGAGGTGGTTATACCAAACCACTCAAACAACAAAGACCAATGTATGAATATGATGTAAGAGATTTATTGCTGGGAAGATAGGCTGTATGACTAGTTCGTTTCTTATCTATCCTCTCTCTCTCCCTCCCTCCCTCCCTCCCTCCCTCCCTCCCTCCCTCCCTTCCTGTCACCGGTACTCTAGATTTTGGTAACCCCATGTAGCACACACAGTTGTGTATTAGAGGCCTAGGATTTTTTCATACTGAAAAACTAAAAGTTTGCACTGAGCGACAGCTCCCACTGTTTCCCCAGCCTTTGCTTCCCAAGCCCCTGGCCCCCACCACTCTTCCCTCTCACTCTGTGAATTTGACTCCTGCAGACACCTGCTATATGGGACCACACTGTATTTGTCCTTTAGTGACTGTTTTTCCTTACTGAAGACATGTGCTCAGGATCCGTCGTGTGGTAGCATACCACAAGATTGCTTGTCTTTCTAGAGGGTTGGTAATATTCCACTGTGTGCGTGTTCCTTCAGCCAACTTCTGAGTTTCTTCTGTGTGTTCACTGTTGTGATGCGCACACTCAGACATGTGAAAGACCAAGACTGCACTTCAATTATTTTAGCTGTGTGCCTGTGTTGTTGGGTCATTACTTCCACTTTTCATTTTTTGAGAACTTGTCATACTGTTTTCCACGGTGGTCTGACCATTTTACATTTCATCTCAAGTACACAAGGGATCCCACTTCTCCATCAATGCTGGCTGTTTTCTGTTTTCTTTTGTATTATTTAATAGTGGATATCCTGATGAGTGTGAGGTGTTATTTCTTTGTGGTTTAACTGTACATTTTCTAATAATAATAATAATAGTGAATATCTCTCTTCTGTATATCTTTCTGGAGAAATATCCATTCTAGGTCTTGTCTATTTTTCCAGTGGGGTTGTTTGTTGTTGAGATATTCTTTATCAACTCTGATTCTTAGTCCCTTGCCTGATGCATGGCTTCTAAATATTTTCTGTAGGTTTACTGTGGTTTTGGTTAGTGATGAAGGAGACTGGATTCTGCCATTTGATTATTCCAGGTAGAGGGAGGAACAGGCACCAATTCTCAAAAACAGGAGCAGCCAGTTAGTGAGAAAGCGGCCCCCAGGGCTGTGTGAAGAGACAAAGGAAGCTGGACCTCCTCCACAGGAAGTGAGTTTGGAGAAGTTGAGTGTGTAAATCAAGTCTGAGCAAACCACTTTAAGAGCAAAAAGGAACAACCTAACTGCAACCTCCACGGAGAAGGAACACTCTAATTTTTGTAGATGCCTCTGGATGCAGCAGGCAGGAAAACCTTTCACAAAGGAAGAACAGAGGCAGAGGCTTAGGAAGGAGAGTGGAGATGATGTGGAGGGAATCTGGACTGGCTGGTGGGTAGCTCATGAAGCCGAAAGGAAGGGAACAGGTGTGGGCAGGAGATGGAGGATGCTGAGTGAAAGAGATCGGAAGCTGACTCAGATGTTTGCCTTGAGCAAACAGAAGAGAGGTGCCCATCTCTGAGGGTGACGAGATTAGAGGAAACAGTCTGGGACAAAAAAGGAGGAGTGCAAAATAACAAAAATCAAAGCAGTTACAAAAGGACAAACAAACCCTTTTCTCCCTCCCTTCCATATTACTATTATTGTTTAATTACATGTGTGAATACACACTCTTGAGTGCAGTACCTATGGAGGACAGAAGAGGGAGCCAGATCCCCAGGAGCTGGAGTTACAGGTGACGTGGATGCTGGGAATTGAACTCTGGCTCTCCGGAACAGCAGTGTATTCTCCTAACCTCAGAGCCATTTCTCCAACTCTATGTGTACCATTTTCTGATTGACAAGGACTGAGTGTTCAGGTGCAAATGTTCCAGGCCCACAATGTTTCCAGTTATGAACTTTTAGATCTATGAGTTTTCTTTTTAAGATTTTATTTGTTTATTTATTGTGTGTTTGTGTGCGTGAGTGTTGCCCAGCCACGCGCACACGCAAGCCAGAGTGTAATTGTGGAAGTCAGAGGACAACTTTCAGGAGTTGGTTCTCTCCTTCCACTATGTGGGTTCCAGTGATTGAACTCAGGCCATCAGGCTTGGCAGCCATCTTGCTATCTTGCCAGCCCAGCTTAGAAGTTTTTAGCTTTGACATCACATGTCAAAAGCCATTCTGTGGAAACCAGACTTCTAAGTCTGAGCTTTGGTTATTCGCTGCAGTGTTTGATTACCTGCACCATGTGGTGCAACAGGTTCCTGTCTATGGCCCCAAGACCACGAGGTGTGTGGCCCATGGTTTTTCTTTTTCCTTTTTTTTTCTTTTCAAGACAAGGTTTCTCTGTGCAACAGCCCTGGCTGTCCTGAACTTGCTCTTTAGACCAGGCTGTCTTCAAACTCATAGAGATGCCTCTGCCTCCCAGTACTGTAATTAAAGGCATGTGCCACCACTGCCTGACCTGTTAAAAAATGTGGCTATTCAATACATCATCCACACTAGTCAACACTTTATTATAAATAGACTTTGTGTCCAACGGTCTCGCCCTGCTCTAGACGACTGTTAGTGTCCTGGGTACGTTTAAAGGAAGGTGAGAGAGCTGGACAGACAGCTCAGAGTTTAAAAGTGCTCTCTGCTCCTGCAGAAGACCCAAGTTCAAGTTCAGCACCCACATCAGGCAGCTCACATCTGCCTGTAACTCTAGCTCCATAGGATCCTACACCCTCTTTTGATATCCTTGGGTACTACACTTACCTGTTTGTTCTCTCTCTCTCTCTCTCTCTCTCTCTCTCTCTCTCTCTCTCTCACACACACACACACACACACACACAAACACACACACACATATAAAAGAAAACTACTTTTAAAACAGTACATGTAGGCAGGGTTAAACTTGGACACTCCTTGGGTTATATGTATTAATTAAAAGCATTGTCTCGCTGGTTAGAGGTGGTGCACGTCTTTAATCCCAGTACTCAGGAGGCAGAGACAGGAGGATCTCTTTGAGTTCGAGGCCAGTCTGCTCTACAGAGTGAGTACAGGACAGGCTCCAAAGCTACAGAGAAACCCTGTCTCAAAAACCAACAATAAATAAATAAAAGAGGCCGTGGTCCTATGACTGGCACATCCGTTCCACCTTGGATTATCCAAGCACCACCTCAGAATCTCACACATGTGTTCCTAGCACAATACTAGGTGTTGGGGTCAGAAAAACTGGATTATGGTTTTGACTGAGATTTTGGTTTGGGTTTCTCTTTATGGTCTGTTATGATAGTTCAGGTTGGCCTTGAACTTGAAGTGAGTCTCCTGCCCCTGTCTCCCGAGTCTAGAAGGGCAGCTGTGCACCAGGTTTGCCAGGGAGTCTGTACGAGTTGCTTGTCTACTTCCATCTCATCTTCAGTTATATAAATTAGAGACAAAATAGTATCTTACTGGTGGAGCTAGGAAGGCTGGGTGCTCATGCATGGAGAAAGCAGGAATGAAAGATTTCAACAAAAATGCACACGGGAGCCTGGAGAGTGGGCCCAGTAGTCACAAGAATGTGTTGCTCTAGCAGACCTAAGTTCAGTTCTCTGCACCCACATCGGCAGCTCACAGACTCCTTTAACTCCAGTTCTAGGGAATCAGATGCCCTCTTCTGGACTCTGTGGGCACTGCACCACATGCGCACCCCCCCCCCCCACGTCATTTAAAATTTAAAATGTATGTAGGTGAATGGATGAGTGCTCTCAAAGGTCCCTGCCATCCTATCCTGACTCTATCTTATCCTTTCTTTACAGAGTCCCCTGGTCGAACCCCAGGCTGACAACAGCTCTGAACCCCTGCCTTCCACAGCTGAGACAGCATCCTCGGCCGCAGAGGAAGACATACATTATGCATCCCTCAGCTTTCGTGAGATGAAGCCCAAGAGTCCACAGGGGCAGCAGGACACCACCACTGAGTACTCAGAGATAAAGTTCCACAAGTGACCTGCATGGCTGTGGCCATGGCTGGAGGAACGTGGCTACGCCGGATAGAGAGTGAAAGAGACTCGGATCCTGGCTGGCTCTGGAGAAGGACAGAGTCCACTAGGTCTGTGTGCACAGGACTTCAGAGCCATTCCTCCATCGCACAGGAGTTCTACTGCCCATTCCCAAGGCTCTGACAACCACTGGTGCCCAGGAAACCAAAGCTTGACTTTATTTTCATTGTTTGTGTGTGCATGTTTTGCCTGCTTGTATGTCTGTGCACCACTTACATGCCTTGTGCCTGCAGAGGTCATCAGATCTCCTGGAATTGGAGTTACAGAGGGTTGTGAGCTGCCACAGGGGTGCTAGGAATTGAACCCAAGTCCTCTGCAAGAGTAGCCAGTGCTCTTAACCACTGAGCCATCTCTCCAGTCCCTAGGTTAGTTTTCTAGATTTAATTTTTGTTTAAAAATTAGCACATATCGTTTACACCATGAGAAGTTTTGTTATATTTTCTTCCAAGTGTATCATGAACTTTGACCTTACTCATCCCTGTTACCTTCTTCTGTCTGTATTCTGTTAGCTACTCATCCCCTTTCTCTACCCAAACACTCCCCTTTCTAGTTTCATGCTGTATGTATTAGTTATTTTTCTTATATTGTTGACAAACACAGAAACATGAAGGGTGGAGAGGTTTATTCTGGCCCATGGTTTCAGACTTTCATGGTGAGCAGGGCAATGTGATGCTAAAGACAGTGGGTATATGTGGTGGAGACTCCACACATCTTGGTGGATCAGGAAACAGTGGGTTCAGGCCAGAACCAGAAGTAGATATTCATCTTCTGGGCCCAGCCCCAGATACCTACTTCTACAAGTTGGGCCACATGTCTGAAAGGCTCTGTGGCTTTAGAAAATATTGGCATCAGCTGAGTACCAAGTATCCAAATATATAAGCCTGTATGGAGCATGTACATTCAAACCAAAACTAGATGGGTGGATGACAGAGATAGATAGATAGATAGATAGATAGATAGATAGATAGATAGATAGATAGATAGATGATAGATAGATAGATGATAGATAGATAGATGATAGACAGATAGAAAGATGATAGATAGATAGATAGTAGATAGATAGATAGATAGATAGATAGATAGATAGATAGACAGAAAGATGATAGATAGATAGATAGATAGATAGATAGATGATAGATAGATAGATAGATAGATAGATAGAAGATAGATAGATGATAGATAGATTTGATAGAAAAGTAGATGGTAGGTAGATGATAGAAAGATGATATATAAAAGATATATGGTAGACATAAAATAGATAAATAGATGATAGAAAGGTAGATGTAAATAGATGATAGAAGATAGATAATATATAAAAATGGTAAACATAGATAAATAGATGATAGATATAATAGAAAGATAGAGGGAAGATAGATATAAAAGATAATTGGTATATGTAAGATAAATAGATGATTGATAGACAGAGAGATGAGAGATAGATGAGAGATAGATGAGAGATAGATGAGAGATAGATTATAGACTGACCATTTGACAGAGACACCGTTCAACTCTGCTTTGCTATTTTGAATACACTGATGAAAACAGCTCAGAGAAAGTGGCAGACAGAGTACTGTGGATGCTGAGGAGCTGCCCAAAGTGTCCTTTTCCAGACTTTTTAAAAAAACAGTGAATGTCTTCTGTGAAGGAAAAGCACTTTAGAATAAAGAGTATAAAGAAAAAAACTAACATAAGAGGAAAAACTGGTAATACTTAACATATTTTGCATTTTTTCACGTTCATGTGAACATACAACTGGACTAAACCTGTAATTGTGCTGTACATATTATACCTATCACTGCTATTAATCTATACTTTTGTGGGGTTTTGAGACAGTGTGATGGTTTGAATGAAAATGACTCCTATAGACTCATAGGGAGTGTTATAGCAGAGGTATGGCCATGTTGGAGTAGGTGTGGCCTTGTTGGAGGAAGTACATCACAGAGGGTAGGGTTTGAGGTTTCAGAAGATCAAGTCAGGCTCAGTGTCACTCTCTCTTCCTGCTGCCTGTTGATCTGGATGTAGAACTCTCAGCTCCTTCTCCAGCACCATGCTTCCTGCCATGATGATAATGGACTAAACCTCTGAACTGTAATCCAGCCCCAATTAAACGTTTTCCTTTAAAGAGTTGTCATGGCCATGGTGTCTCTTCACACCAATAGAGCACTGACTCTTGAGACAGACAGGGTCCCGTGTATCCCAGGCTGGCCTAGAACTTGTTATGTGTTTGAGGATAACCTTGAGCTCCTGAGCCTCCTCCTTTCAGCTTCTAAATTCTGGGGTCACAGGACAGGTATATGCCACATATTTTCATAAATATTTATCTATATGTTCAAGAGAGAGAGAGAGAGAGAGGGAGAGAGAGAGAGAGAGAGAGAGGGAGGGAGAGAGAGAGAGGAGTGCAGTTCTTGTTGAGTTCAGATCCCCTTGTAACTGGAGTTACAGTGATAGTAAGCCTTTCCAACATGGGTGCTGGAAACCCAGTTCAAGCCCTCTGCAAGAGTAGTATGCACTCCTTCTCTAGTCCCTGATGTATGTTTTCTGTCCCAATGTCATCTCTGTGGCTCTGTGGCCCTATCAGATGTAGCTGTGCAAATTCCCTATAACTTAGAAGACACCAGCCTTCCTCATTGAAAGCCCCTCTGTCAGTGCGCCTCTTAAACCTGGGAGGGGGACACATTTAAGCAGCTGACACCAGTTGTTTGAGCTCAAAATTATTTATTTCTCGCCATTGGCAACACTGAGCTGGGCATCTTCCAGGCTCTTTCAGGACTACCCAGTGTCCAGGAAAGGACGTGGAGCCGTAAATACTAGAAGTGGCGATGTCTGTGATTAGAGCCTGGAGCTCTCATACCACCCTGACCCAGCGTGGCCAGGGCTGATTGGCAGATGCTGCTTCTAGTGGCCAGGCTGCCCCGTGATATCACCCCTTGTCCCCATCCCCCATGGGGTCCAATTCGTCCGGAAGCCTTGGTTTCTTCTACTCACTGAGAATGACTGGTTCCCTCCCCAGACCCTGTACTGGTTCAGTTCAGTCGGTCCCCATGGGAGACTTATTCTCCCTTTCTCTCCTTCACCTCCTTGCCCAGCTGGGGTGTCCTCTAGATCTGCTATGGACTCTTAGGTCTGGTTTCTCCTGAGGGAGGAAATAAGGGGAGAAGTCATGTCTTATGTTCCTAAAGTCCTGGGAAAGAGATAAAGGGACCCGACTCTTCCCCACACACGTGCCTGTGAAAGAGATGGCCCTGGACTTAACCTCCATGGAAGAGATGGCTCTGGGCTTAACCTCCATGGAAGAGGTGACCCTGGGCTTAAGCTCCTTGGAAGAGGTGACCCTGGGCTTAACCTCCATGGAAGAGGTGACCCTGGGTTTAACCTCCATGGAAGAGATGGCCCTGGGCTTAATCTCCATGGAAGAGGTGACTCTGGGCTTAACCTCCATGGAAGAGGTGACCCTGGGTTTAACCTCCACGGAAGAGGTGACCCTGGGTTTACCTCCATGGAAGAGATGACCCTGGGGCTTAACCTCCATGCCCAGAGTCCCTAGCATTTCCACCCACAGTTTTTAGTTTCAATTTTTTTTTTCATGTCAGAGGAACAATGAGCATAACCCACCTTCCTAGTCTCACTTCCGTTGCTATGGTAAAATACCCGACCAAACAAGGCTTCGTTCCAATTGACAATCCCAGATCCCAGTCGGCCACGGAGGGAGGCGGGCCTGTTTGCTGCCCCACATAATATGACGTCCAACTGAGAAAGTCACTCGCAACCAAGGGAAGCACAGCAGAAGCCATGGAGGATGTGGCCTGCTGGTCCCACAGCTTTCTTACGTATTGTCAACATACCCACATCACCAACATCAGCATCAATGGTGCCAACACTGTCACCATAATTTCTGCTACATATTGGCCCTAGAATGTTCTCTATAGAGAACACGTTAGAGGTTTAGTCCCTAAGGTATTGAGAGTTGTGAATCCCTTAAGGGCCTAGTGGGAGTAAGCTAGATTACTGGAGAGACCACTGAGAGAACTGGAAGCCTCGCTCCTTGCTCTCTCTTTGCTTTCCACTCTGGTCAGAAGCCAGAATGTATTGCTTTGGCCCTGGTCCAGTACCGGTGGGGGTGACTGACCATGAACGGAAAGTTCTAAAACTGTGATCAAAGATATATCTTCATTTTTATAGGTTAATTGAGTCAGGCATTTGCTAGAGGAACACAAAGCTGGCTGATATCATCACCACTGCCTTCACTATCACCGTCGCCACCGTCCACTGCCGCTATAACGCTATTCTCTCATTATGTATCTCCTAGCTATCCTAGGACTCACTGTGTAGAGCAGGCTGGCCTAGCACCCACCTGCCTGATACCTCCCAAGTGCTGGGATAAAAGGTGTGTGTCAGCATGTCCATCTTACCCTCATGTTTTAGGAGTCTCTCATGGCCCTAGAGTTTACGATTTCAGTTAGACTGTTGGTTGACCAGTGACCCTGGAACACACCTGCCAGCACATCCTCTGGTGCTCGGATTACAGGCACACATGCCCCCCATGAATGGCTTTTGCATAGGTGTAGGATATGCATTTAAGTCTTCATTCTTCCATGGCAAGAGTTCTACCATTGTGGCATCCCTCCAGCCCCATCTCTAATACTGAATCTCATAAAAGGGCAGCTTTTATTATTGAAAAAATTTCTGCCTCCTCCCCGCCTCCCATTTCCCCCCCTCCCCCCTCCTCCCCCCTCCCTCTCTAGTCCAAAGAGCAGTCAGGGTTCCCTGACCCGTGGGAAGTCCAAGGTCCTCTCCCCTCCATCCAGGTCTAGGAAGGTGAGCATCCAAACAGGCTAGGTTCCCACAAAGCCAGTTCATGCAGTAGGATCAAAATCCAGTGCCATTGTCCATGGCTTCTCATCAGCCCTCATTGTCTGCCATGTTCAGAGAGTCCGGTTTTATCCCATGCTTTTCAGTACCAAGACCAGGGCAGTTTTGTGTCCCCACCCTGACTTTTATAGTGCCTGGAGAAGTTTTGAGCTATCTAAACTACAGTGGTGGTGGGTGTTCCTACTAGCACCTAGTGGTCTGGCGCCAGGGCCCTGCTTGACACCCCGCCATGCACAGGAAAGCCTGACCTCCCATGTCTCAAATAACTAGGTCTCCATAAGCACAGGCAGCGCTGAAGCTGAGACGTGATCTACTCTGCCGAAAGCACAGCCGATCTTCTCATCCTCCAGCATCTGTCTCTAGTTCCCACAACATGACTCCCTCTCCCACCAGCTACTGGTGCAGGAAATCTACTTATCTGTCTCATAAGAAGCCTGGTGTCCAGTTTCTGACCTGTTTCTCCATCTGGCCATATCTCCTGAGTCATGAGGCCCAGCCCTGACCCATGATGTAGGACAATGGTCACTTGATGGAACAAAATATAATCAGGGTGTAGACCAGGATTCCACAGACGTAGGGCTGCCCAGGGACGCCAATATGATGATAAAGATTACCAAGGATCCTGAGATTAAAGCGCTCTGTGGGCAGCAGGCAGTGGCCCTGCACGGAGAGGATAACGGGACATCAGGACACTGTACCCATCAGCTCAACCCTTCACCCACCGTCTGAGTCAGAGTTTCTTTAGCTGTGATAAAACATCATGACAAAAAGCAACTTGGAGAAGGAAGGGTCTATCGTGAAGGGAAGTCAGGACAGGAACTCAAGCAGAAACCTGGCTGGAGTCAGAAACTGCAGCACAGGCCACGAAGAGTGCTGCTTGCTGGTTCGCTCTTTGTTATCTGCTCAGTTTGATTTCCTGTATAACCCAGGACCACCTGCGGCCCGGGGGTGGCACCACCCACAGTGCACCGGGACCTCTCATATCAATAATTAATCAAGAAAATGCCCCACACGTTTGTCTATAGGCCAATCTTATGGAGGCATTGTTCTCAGTTAAGACGCCCTCTTCCCAAATACTGCTAGGTTTGAGTAAGTTGACAAAACCAACAGCACACTCAGCTGTGTATGGCTTCCTCAAAGACTCATCAGTATTCACTATGTGCAAAGCACTATTCGGGTACCAGGGATTCATCAATGACCAAAATCAGTTCCTCGGGGCTGGTAGGATAGATCAGCGAGTAAAGCCAAGTAGGCCTGATGACCTGAGTTCCATGCCTAGAACCATGTAGAGGAGGAAGGAGGAGGCTACAGAGCTGGTCTGCAGCCTTGCAGGCGTGCTGCAGCGAACGGCAGCCCTCTATACGTACATGCCATGCACACACACAATGAAACATGCAGTGGGAGGACATGATTCTTGATATTGTCAATTTGACTGACACAGCATCACCAATGAGACACAGCTGTGGGCATTTCCAGAGAGTTGTGGCTGAGGAAGGAGGAGACATCCTGGGGCTGAGGTCCTGGCCTAAATCAAAAGTAAGTTGAACATCAAGATTAGTGTCTCTGCATCCCGACTGTAGGCACAGTGTAACCAGCTGCCACTCCTGACACCAGGATTTCCATCACCCCATGTACCAAGACTATCCATCCATCATCACGCTGACTTCTGTCACAGCTGTGACAATGGGCAGAGGTGGCCGGCAGACACGCTAGTTCCTGAGGATGAGGAGGTGATGGTGCTGATGGCGCAGGGTCACTAACTCACTGAAGAGCGTCACAAAGCATCGCTCACATGCCTCGCCGAATCAGCTCACAGCTCTCTCTGGGCTGTGCAGGAAGGGTGGCTGCCTTTTGGGGAAGTTTTCTATGGTGTTTTGATTATCACAGCACTCTATTGTAGACAGACTTGTCCTTAAATGGCACCGTGGAAAACTGAGTTTGGAATGGTGGAATTCTTGCTCCTGGTTTGCATTAGTAGCAGGGGTAGAATTTGAATCTGAGTCCTTTGATTCTAGAACACTGTGTATGTGTGTGTGTGCTCATGTGCACAAGTGCATATGAGTGTAGGTAACGTGTACATGTGCATGTGTCTGTTCATGCACGTGAAGGTCAGAGGTTAACCTCAAATTTCATTCCTAAGGTGTTACCCAATCTTACATTTAGTTACTGCCTGTGTGTGGAGATCAGAGGACCACTGGAGAGCGCCATCCTCTTCTTGAACTAC